AAATTGAATTTTTTTTTGTTAAAAACATGAATTCAAGAAAATTTGAAGATACTTAAAACACTACAAGTGACACTGTGCATCAAAAACACTACAAGTGACACTGTGCATCAAAAACACTACAAGTAACACTGCATCAAAAATACTACAAGTAACACTGTGCATCAAAAAAAAAATGTAAAATACAAATCAAAACAAAAATTTAAAAATTTGGAATAGTTATGATAGAACAGTACATACATTGGAACAATAAGGGGACAGCAGTTGAATTTCAGAAATTGTTCCAATAAATTTGTGAACATCATTTGATGATAAACATCTTTTCTTCAAATCTCATACTTGCTCACATTATGCTAAAAATAAATTGAAATTTACTACTTTCAAAATTCATCAGTTTTTTGTAAGAATTCAGCTGTTACTATTGAGATTCGCAAAGACTCCAATTCATGATATTCATATAAGTGCCAAATGTCAGCAAAATTTTATATCCACCATGATGGGTGGCAAAAAGATGTAAACAAGTGTAAAAATGGTAAAAAGCTGTTGCACCAAACTGTGAAAATAGAAAAATTAAAGGTATTCATTTTCATAGGTTTCTGAAAGAAGAAGAGTGAAGGAGGTTATGGATTGCTTTCTTAAATAGAAAGATTTTGCTGAATTTAGAGTTAGCTTACATTAGCGGTGAACATTTTATTACTGGTAAGTCTAGTCTTCTTGTGTGGATTTATTAAATGTTAAAATAATACATAAACACATGAGCACTTATAAATTTACATATACATACATGTATATATATGTATATATATTTATATACAACAAATATATATATATATATATATATATATATATATATATATATATATATATATATATATATATATATATATATATATGATTATATTTTTGTATATTATGTATAGTAAACATTTTTTTTTAGGAAGAAAAAATGATGATAAAAATCATACTGACTTTGTTCCCTCCATTAAAAAAGTTAACAGAAACAATAACGATATACCAATTGACTTTATTGACATGTCATGTCATTCATCAAGGAAAATTCAGAAAGATCAAATCATTTAAAGAAATGCAGAAAAACTATTGAAGAAGATAGTATTAACAGTTGTTTGCATGAAGAAATTGTTGAAGAATCCCAAACTGTCAAAATTATAAAGGAGATAAAAGAAAAAAACGAAAAGTTTAAAAATTCAATTAAAAAACTAAAAGAAGACAGTAAAGCAGAAATTGAACTTCTTTAAAAGGAAAATATGAAATCTAAATATATTATACAAAAACTAAAAATTATAAATACTGCACTCGTCAAAAAATTGAAAAATCATATTGATAAAACTACTTTTAAACTAATAAAAGACAAAAAGAAAGTTCAACTTTATACAGGTCTTCCTGACGTTGAAAACATGTTTTTAAACATGTTTTCAACTTAATTGAAAACTATGTGCCAGCTAATAAAGCTTCAACGACAAAGTTGCATGAATTTTGTATTGTTTTAATGAAACTGCGTCTAAATTTGCTGAAACAAGATAGAGCATACAGATTTAATATAAGTCAACCAATCGTATCATGAGTCTTTGAAAAATGGCTTCTTGTAATGACATCTTTTCTTTTTGATAAAGTGGCCAAAAAAGATATATATTAAAGAGAACAATGCCAACTTGTTTTGGAGAATTTTTTCCTAAATGTGTTGTAATTATTGACTGCTTTGAGATTTTTATTGAAAAACCAAAAGATCTAACAGCTAGAGCTCAAACTTTTTCTGAATATAAACACCCTAATACTGTTAAAGTGAGAGGAATGCTCGTGTACGAATACATGTTGAATGTTTAATTGGACTCTTAAGAAACAAATACACAATTTTACAAAGAATACTTTTTAATAAACTAATCAGTCAAACAGAAGATGGAATATGTAACCTAAATGATATTTTAAATGTTTGCTCTGCTTTATGTAACCTTTGTTGTGGAGTAGTCCCTATTGACTTTTTTTTTAATATATAAAAATACATAAATGTAGTATTATATTTATTTATTAATTTAAAACTTTTTTTTTTAATTCTGTTTTTTTTTTATGGCAACAATATGGGCAAAACCATTTTCCAATTGGTTTGCTTGTGAGTCCAAGACAATTAAGATGATAGGTTTTCATAATACAAGTTAAATCGAAACATTTAATTATAATATTCTCTTTGATTTCACCGCAAGTATGTATTGTTTCAAAATTGCTACTTTGTTTTAATGCCTCAATATTTACAAAAGTATTATGATTTCTAGAATGCAATTTAGCAAGGAGTTCAGGCAATATCGCTAAAATAAAAAAATCTCTTGCTTTGTTTCAGTTTTCAGTGAGAAATTCTTTATCCACATAAATTTTTTCAATTAGACTGGCTTCGCCATCATACACAATAAAATAATAAATCGGAATATTTGAAATTAACATTTGTAGCTGAACTTGATAATAATATTGATGAGTACTTTTTAAATGTTTTCAGTTCTTTACTTCCATGCAAAACTCTTTATCGTTATTTGCCAGTTCAAAGACATTTCTTTTTGTGCATTTAAATGGACAAGGTATGGTTATCTGGGTGTTCTAAGCAATCCAAAATCAAAAATTTCAAAATTTTTGTGGTTGTTAATAGATGCGATTTTAAATAATTTTTAGCTACAATTTATCACATGTCAAAGTTGCATGAGTTCATGATACTTTTATTTTTCATGTTCTCTTTTGTAAAAATTAAAAATAATTGTATTAAGTTTTGCAACTAAAGGTATATATTTATAACTATATTCAGGAATTATAAGAAGAATTACACTATCTCTTGCATTATCTGATATTTTACTGTAAAAGTTAGCAATTTCTGTCTTACTTGGAATTGGAATGAATAAGGTTTTTTTAATATTTGGTTTTGCTTGTGTTTTATTCTTTACTTTTGCTTCAAACATTTTTTTTAGAATCAGCAAAATTAATTTGTGAAAGTGGCAAATAACTTCTTTAAGGTTTGGCGGCAACCGAGCCTTAAGGAAGGTTTGGCGGCAACCAAGCCTTAAGGTTTGGCAGCAACCGAGTGCACAATTGAGATGTACAAGCATCATCATTATTTCTTTTCCGATAATCAGATATTGACATTGAATAAAATAATGTTGCTCCAATATGAGAACAGACTTCGCCTAAATCTGCCATACATGTGCAATGTACATTTATAACTTCATCATCTTCTTGAACGCAAACCCATACCCTTGTTAGAGTTTGAGAAAAAATGCTCTGACCATGTCTTAAAAGACTGGTAACAATATAAATAGACTTTACACCATTAATGAACTTTATAAGAATGTTGTGAACAAGACCACTGGTTACATAGTTGTAAGATTCAAGACCTTTGTAAGATTTTAAACTAGAACTTGTAAACTGACTTAAAAAGTTGATTAGATAGCTGTATATATCAGCAAAAGTTAGATTAGGTCATTTGTCTATGTTATTAATTAGTTCACAGTCTTTTTCTGATAAAGAATACAGATAAAAAATAATCTCTAAAACTGATAATTTTTCTTCGTGTCTCTTTTTTACTTCCAAATTAAGGATTTTGTAACACTGTGATCACATAATTGTAAGCAAAGAAGAATTTAAATTAATTTCAACAGATCAGCTTTTAGTATCTATTATTTGTTTACATTTTTTTGCCACCCATCATGGTGGATACAAAGTTTCGCGGGCAGGAGTTCTTACGAATATTATGAATAGTCACACGTTAATTTTTTATATTCAATTTATCTGTTTGTTGTGAAATCTGGTTTGAATCCTATATATACCATTCCTTATTGTGCTTCCATTTAGCTACTCTTCACTTTATAATTTTTCTTTTTTGTTTTTTATGGTTCTTTTTTCAAGACTTTTAAATATATAATCAGAATAAATAACAATAAATAACAGAAAAAAAGAAAGAAAATGTATGTATATTATTCTGAAGATATGTATCTTCATAATAATATCAAAAGGAATTTCAGAAAGAGAAGATCTGATATTCTTTCTAATATTTCTTTTATTATTATTAAAATATTTCAGATCAAATCAGGGGTGTTAGAGCTAAGCCATTCAGTGTGGTGTTAGAGCTAGCCATTCAGTGTAATGAGCATTAAAACCAAAAATAACAATATTGGTTGATGGATAAAGAAAAAAGGGGTCGTCCTTTCTCTTTATCTCTCTCCCAATATTGCCATTATCAGCATTCTGCCAATGCTGAATGGCCTGACTCTAGCACCACTTACCCTATGAAACATTACATTATTTTATTTTACATTATTTTGTGCTACTTAGCTTGAGCCTCTGTACTTATTTTAAAAATTTTTATTTTAAAAATTTTCTACAAGTTTTGGTTGCTGCTCAAAATGAGCTCTTGTTCCATCAATTAAAATTCATTCTAGCCTGACTTGTCATTTAGTGAAGTTACATTTTTTTATTAAATCTGCCCCTTTGTGCTCTAAAAACTTTTATTCATTTATTTTATTCATTATTTATTCCTTGCACATCAATGTTTTACTCTCTCCCATCTTCATGTTTTCCAGACTTTTATAGTTGATAATAATTTAATAAGATAGTAGTTTAGAATAATTAAAGTTACAATAAAAAAGCTTAAGATTAAGCTTATTGTTAAAATAAGGAATATATAATCTTATTTGTAATATAATCTTATTTGTAATATAATCTTATTGGTAATATAATCTTGTTGGTAATATAATCTTATTGGTAATATAATCTTATTGGTAATATAATCTTATTGGTAATATAATCTTATTGGTAATATAATCTTATTGGTAATATAATCTTATTGGTAATATAATCTTATTGGTAATATAATCTTATTGGTAATATAATCTTATTGGTAATATAATCTTATTGGTAATATAATCTTGTTGGTAATATAATCTTATTGGTAATATAATCTTATTGGTAATATAATCTTATTGGTAATATAATCTTATTGATAATATAATCTTATTGGTAATATAATCTTATTGGTAATATAATCTTATTGGTAATATAATCTTATTGGTAATATAATCTTATTGGTAATATAATCTTATTGGTAATATAATCTTATTGGTAATAGGTGTTGATTTAGAATGATTAAGGATGAATATACAATTTTGTTTGTCACGATAAGATACAAGATAAAATGTGTTTTTTTAAAGATATAAAATAATTGATGGTTTTAAATATAATTAGAGTATAATTATATAAAATTCTTAAAAGATAATTTAAGTTTGTCAAATGTCATAGTAATCTAAGATTTAAGATTTTTTTCATAAGAATTTCTTCTTAAAATTTAAAATTTCTGTTCACAAGTCGGTTAAATAACAAACCAGATAAACAAAAATACATATGTCATAGTATATTTTCTGATTATGTATATACAGTTTTTTTTGTTGTGTCATTGTATTTTTCATAAAAAAATTAGAAAATATGATGTAGAAAGTGAAGAAGTGAAGTGGAAAAAGATGAAGAAAAAAATTTATCCCAAAATCTTTTGACCACTGATTGAAAATTTATGTTTTAAGCAAAATAGTTTATTAAAATATATATGCATTTATTTAAAATATCTGTTTAAAATATGATAATTTATTTAAAACATGATAATTGGTTTAAAAGATTTTAATACTTTTAGATAATTGTTTTAAAAGAAGTTTATTTTTTTACTATTTTTATTTAATTTTTTTTTTGAAAATAAATTTTTTATTATATTTGAAAATAAAATTTCTTAGATTATAAGTGCACAAGATGTAGCAATTTATGGTGGTTTATGTGCTTTAGCTACATTTGATAGGGAAGAGTTACATAAAAGAGTTTTGTCTAGCAGGTTATAAAGATTTTTAAATCTTATTTTTTGTGTATCTATAAAACATTAGATACCTGTGCTATATTATACATGTTTAAACATTAATTGTAAATGAAAATACAAATTTTTTTTAAAAAATATTGGTTTTTTCTTACGAAACATTAGATACCTGTGCTATATTGTACATGATTGTAAATGAAAATACAATTTTTTTTTTTAAAATATTGTTTTTTTCTTAGTAACCTAAATTTTTAAGTAATCATGATCTTTTCTTATGATCCTTACTTAAACTTATGACTTCATACTTAAACTTATGACCTCATACTTATACTTATGATCTCATGCTTAAACTTAGGACCTCATACTTAAACGTATGATCTCATACTTATACTTATGACCTCATACTTATACTTATGACCTCATGCTTAAACTTATGACCTTATGAGCTACATTGTAAAGTATGTAAAGTTTTACATTTTGTTTTTCCAGTGAAAAATAATTGGCAATATTTTATCTATGTTTTTTTTTATTTATTTTATTTGTATTCCTTAAATAAAATTTGTATTTACGTGTATTTATACAGTAATTTTAATAATAAAGTTTCACTTATTTATAAATTAAATTTAATAATAAAGTTTGTCATAAGCAAAACAAAAGTAGTTTTTCTTTAAACACTTTATTTTTAGTGTTTTGAAATAAAACATGTAATTAGAAGTTTTTTTCTTTGTTACAAACTGAAATTCTTTAAATGAAAATTAAAGCAATAATACATCAAAACAATTAAAAGTTGTTAAAAAGTTGTTTATTATTTTGTTTTAATATAAAATATTTTTGTTTTTTTAGCTCCTTCAAGCAATTTTTAGAGCTTCAACCACAATTGCGTGAAGTACTGCTCAAATTTTATTCTTCTAAATATGCAACATGCCTTGATCTATTAGACAAAATGAGGGTATTTAATAAATTATTTATAAGATATATGTATATATATATATGTATATATATATATATATATATATATATATATATATATATATATATATATATATATATATATATATATATCTGTGTGTGTGTACTGAAACCTATCCTAATTCAGTATAACATTATAAGTGATGTCTTGGTATTAGAAATATAAGAAGTTTATTGATGCATTAGGTATGATATTATCATTCAGTATGTCATTGATGCATTCAGTATTACATCATAAGCTTGATTTTTTGTTCTGATGTTCTGATTGTTCTGATGTATATAAACTTTGATGTTTAATTTAAATTTTGTTTCCAGAGTGATGTCTTAAGTTGAAATAGTTTTTATTTTATTGATCACCCTTTAGATCCTTTAGTTTTTAAATTGACTCTACTTTTTGGAATAAGTTTTTCACATTGTTCATAGTTTAAGTTCAGTAATTTATCATTCATATACCTTTACGTTATGTATATATGTGTATGTATATATATGTGTGTATGTATATATATATATATATATATATATATATATATATATATATATATATATATATATATATATATATATATATATATATATATATATATATATATATATATATATATATATATATATATATATATATATATATATATATGGGCGTGTATATACATGTATATGTGTATGTCTGTATGTGTATGTATGTATGTATGTATGTATGTATGTATGTATGTATGTATGTATGTATGTATGTATGTATGTATGTATGTGTATTTGTTAAAATGCCATAATAAAAGCATAATAATATCTAAATGCTAATAGCAGCCAATTTATTGAAAAATATTTTCAAATATTACAATCTTGAACTTTTTTTGCGGCCCATGGACACAATGTACTTGTTTAGGTGATATTCCTCTCGATATCTCAAACCTTATTATCTCGAACTTTTTGGTATCTCAAACAATTAATTTGTTTTTGTCAAATGCAATAACATGCCATTTGTTAAACAAAAATCCACATACAAATCTATAATAGAAAAATGCAAGGCATTAAAAGACCTGAAGAAAGGGGTGTCTAACAAAGAGGTTACCCAAAAGAATGGTGTCCCAAAGAACACATCAATCTGGGTTAAAAATAAAAACAAATTAATAACCTCATGAAAAAATCAAGGCGTAATATGAAGTCTTAAAGCTCACTATCATCACAAAATTGTGCGTATGTGTATCTAGACTATCAATAATTATGAACCCCTGCCAAAAATTTATATACTTAAAGCAATGAATGATTTTGTTTCTTCATGAAATGTTGTGTCAAAGGAGACTTTCATCAACTGCTTTAAAAAAGCTGGTATCAGTAAAACAAACAAGAAGCTACTGATAACCATTCTTTTAAATTTTTTTAAATTTTGAAGCAGCTGCTGATAACCATTCTTTTAAATTTTTGACAGAAGAACTTAACCGTTTGCAAGAGTTAGATCCTAGTGCCGCCCTAGAAGATCTCTCAGCGAAATCTTACATTGGTTTAGATTGCAATGTAGTAACCACCCGTTTACTTGCTACTGATGCTGAAATCATTGCTCCGATTATAGACCCGAATTTTGAAAACGATGATAATGAAGTTGAAGATAGTGTTGACAAAGATATTGACGTCGAAGCCCTGCTATGCCTATCTGATATTCAGTTAGAAAATGCTTTTGAAATGATTCAAAATGCTTTGCTATATAGCTGAAAATACGGAAATGAAATAAAATCCCTAGCACTAAAACTTGAGGATTTAATGAAGATGGATGATTTGAAGCAATAACTTATCTTTTAATGAAAGTTGGGCGATTTTACTTATTTTCAAACCCTTTCTTGATATCTTGAACTCTTGATATCTTGAACTTTTTTCCTGGTCCCGTTAGTGTTCAAGATATTGAGAGTTGACTATATATTGAGTTTCAATGCAAAAAAAATGCTGCAATCCTTACAATGACTTTGGGTATTTCTATGGTGGGTTACAATGGCTTCTAGTATTTCTATGGTGGTTACAATGACTTTGATGTATTTCTATGGTGGGTTAAAATGATATTGAGGTATTTCTATGGTGGGTTACAATGACTTTGAGGTATTTCTATGGTGGGTTACATTATTTTGTAACTTTGCTAGTTTTTTCAGACATTTTCTATAATGGTTAAAATATATAAATTATTTTTAGTATTTTTTAATTTGATTAAAATTTATTTCATATGTATGCCTTGGTCAAAATTTATCCCCTGTGTAACTCTCTGTCATATTACAGCTATAAATAAATGTTGCCTAATAAATTAATATGTAAATTGTTAAAATGCTTCTAATAAAAAAATCACAATGATAAACATCAACATCAAATTCATCAATAATACCTTTTTTAATATGCTTTTTTTGTTATTATGTAGGACAATTTTGTTATTATATAGGACAATTTAATGTTGGATATATATCTTTATCAACATGTTAATAAACTCTATACTCAAATTCGTAATCGAGCTTTAGTTCAGGCAAGAATTATCAATTTTTATATTTATCTATTTTCTATATCTTCATTAAGAATTAAGTAATTAAATTGCAATTAATTGTTAAATTAAAATTTTGTTAATAGTATTTTAACCCATATGTTGTTGCTGATCTTCATAAAATGGCGGCATCATTTAATACTTCCGTTGAATCACTAGAAGATGAACTAACTCAGCTCATCCTTGATGGTCAAATTATGGCTAGAATTGACTCTAGTAAAAAGGTATCTTTTTTTTTTGTTTTTTGAAATAACGTTTGTAATGAAGGTGGCATGTTGGGGGTGATGTGTTGCATTGGATTGATTTTATATTATTTATTTATTTTGTATTTTTTTGTTGTAAAAGCTATAGTTAGATTGTTGTTTAGATATTGTATGCTCGAGATGTTGACCATCGCCGTTCAACATATGATAAAGTAATTTTATGCGGAAAAGAATATGAAAAACGTACTAAAGTAAGTACTAAAGTAGCAGATTTAACCATTTGAATTGTTTTTGATACTTAAAAGTGTTTAAAGAAACTTTTAATTGTCTTTTAGGTTTTATTATTTTTATTAATTTTATAAAAGTATCTAAGAAAGATAATTTTTTTTTTGATACTTTTATAAAAATATTTTTTTTTGCATGATATGATTTTCTTGAATGCATAGTTGAATTTTTAAAATTGTAAACGCTAAAACTCTTTTTCACACTTGTAAATATCTCTTTTTCACACTAGTAATGTTAAAAAAAGTTATAAAGCAATTTCCACAAATTTTTTCTATTTATAAGTTTTGCTCATACAGAGGGAAAAAAATTATACGTGTTTTTTTAAATGAAAACTTAACAATCACTGATAACCTTCTGTTTTCGATTAAAAAAATATTAAGCTGAACAGCAATTGATATCGATTGATAACTTTCCTCCTGAATCTCCACTAAAACAAAATAATTTTTTTTTTTTAATTTATAATAATAAAAAAAATATTTTTAGGCTCTTATTTTGCGAACTGTTGTGCTTCAACATCAAATACAAGTTAAGGTAAGAGTTTTTTCTAGTCGGATTTATTTTAGAATATAAATATTTTTATGTTAAAAACGAAATGAACTTACTCAAAGCAATTTATTATTACTCAAAGCAAATTATAAACTCTGCATAAAATTAAGTTCAATAAATTCAATAAAAATTTGTTTCAATTAAAATTTGTATTCATAAAATTAATACGAGTTGCTATGCTTAGTTTAATAATAAGTGAATAAATATAAAAGAATAAAAATATACATGATCTCTTCAAAGAGAAAACGAAATATCGTACATTAAAAATTGTCTAAGACAGGGCCGTCACCCCTTTAAGAGATCTTAAAGGGGTGGTGACAAAGGCGGATCCATAAGGAAGGGGGGGGGGAGGCGATCGGCACTCCTTAAATATATTTAAAAGTTTTTCTTTGTAAATTTATATATTTAACAAAACATGTTTGAAAGGAAAAGTAAATTAGTGGGTGGGGGGGGGGGGTTCTGTTTAAAAGTGATAAGAAATTTTAATAAAATTGTGTGGTGCATAAATGAAATTTCATAGTTACATATATTACGACTGTACGATTAATATTCTAAAAAATTAAATGAAAAAGTTTAATGATTGGTGGGATTGCCTGCTCACAAACTATGAAAAAAATTGCCGGAAAATTGCCCCATACTTGGCAAGATAATTTGGATCCACCGAATCAAAAAATCGCTTTCCCCTACCGTCTTTCCTTTCTTGATAGTCTAGATCCACTGAATAAAGAAAACCTAAAAAAAAATATTATTTTTTATTTAAACTATAAATAATATCGTTAAATCAAGTTTTATAATTAATTTTCATGATTTACTTTAGTCCGCCCGTGATGACGACGCTGCTCGTTAACGATGACAACGTTAACGTTATGACGACTCGTTGAAGAATTAAAATATGAATATTTATGATTAATTAGTTTTGAATTTTTATTTAAAACAAAGCCGTCATTTTATTGTTGAATTTATTACATATCTTTACGCAAATATTTCTAAAATAAAGAAGAAAGTGTTGGGTAGCCTCAAACACAAAATGTTAAAAAAACTTGTTGTTGTTAAATAGAACTTTTGCAACTAAAACGTTTGAGTCTATTTTTTACGGGAAAAGCCTAAAATTTTGAGTTGGTTGTTGGTTGTACACGGAAGTAAACAACAAAGATAAGTTTAAGAAAAATGTCTAATATAGATGGAATTAAGATTGTCCCTGAAGACTTGGATGCATTTAATTTCACTTCTTTTAACTCATTTAATTTAAATGTTATAAGTAATATTATTGGTGTAAATCTTGCTAGTACTTTATTTGACTTCGACGAAAAGATTATAACAAGTACATCAAACAATGTTGTTCAAGTAAAAAGCAAAAAAAGAAGAAATGGAGTCTTCACGTGTTGTGTACCTAAATGCTTCAACAGCTAAGTGAAACATAAAAATTTACAGGCGATGATAGAGATAGCAAGGATATAGCGATGATAGAGAGAGCCAATATAGCTTATCGGTTAGAGTATCGACCTGGTAATTCCAGGTTCAATTTTCCCGCTCTGAGCGTATTATGTTTAACTTAGTATTTTTACTTCGTTTTTTTATACCTTGCACATTGGTTGTGATTTTCCATTTAGAATATGAGTTTATTATTTCTATTACATGCGCGATGTCTATATTATCATTAATATATATTTTATATTATCATTAATATACACTTTAGTATCTTTGTTTCGCTCTGAACATCTGTTCATAATACTTTTTTGTTTTATTTTTTTATTCTCTCTCTGTTTCTAATTTTTTCCTTATTTCATTTGGGCTTGATAGCTCGGTTCTTTGACGCGTATTTTTGATTAGCTCGATCTCAGTTCTTAGATGCATATTTTTGCATTTTTTTAAGATTATAACAAGTACATCAAACAATGTTGTTCAAGTAAAAAGTAAAAAAAGAAGAAATGGGGGCTTCACATGTTGTGCACCTAATTGCTTCAGCAGCACAGTGAAACATAAAAATTTATCATTTTATGCAATTCCCAACAAAGACAAGAACCTTAGAAAAATATGGCTTTACAAAATAAGTAGAAGAGACTTTAAACCGACTTTAACTCACAGGGTATGTTCTAAACATTTTGAAGGTGGCAAAAAAACTTACATGAACAAAATACCAACTTTCTTACCTAAAACTATTAAACCATATGTTGGAAAAGCGAGGGGAACTTATAATAGAAAGGATTAAGAAAAACTCTGCCAAAAAAAGAAGGTAAACTAAGAGTAGATGTGGCTTCTTTACAAGTTAAAGTTCTTTAACTTGAAAATAAGATCAAAGTAAAAAACCAAGAGCATTATATAGAAATAAGTTCTATGCAAAAGGATATGGCAGATACTAGTTTTACAGTTGATCGATTTAAGCACGACACTACACATTTTAGGTTTTATACAGGATTTGAAAGAACTATTTAAAGTTGTGTTTGAGTATTGTAATTATGTTGTGGTAAACTTTAAAAACAGTTAGTGACAACTATGCGGTTTGTGATTAGCATAATTTTTTATTAGTAATTATATTTAATATGTTTACGCGGTTTTAAATGAATATTTGAGGTTTGTAGTATAATATAAATTATCGAATGATTTTGTAAGAAGGAGGTGAAATAGAAGTTAGTTTAATAATGAGATAGATGAATAAAATTTCTCGTTGTGTTTTCTTGCGAGGAAATTATCTTCAGCCTACAGCTAGTGCTTTAATATATTATAGCTCAACTACAATAGCTGATAAAATTGCTGAATCAGAAGTAAAAAAGAGAGGGCGAAAAAGAGCCTTGACACCCGAGGAAGAATTTTTTATGGTGCTAATTCGTTTGAAATGTGCATCTCCTATTGAAATCTTGGGGTTCGTTTTAAATTATCGACTAGTCGTGTCAGCAGAATATTAATAACATGGATTGATTTTTTGCATTCACAACTAAGAGCATTGCCTATATGAGACTGAGAAACTGTAGATGATACCATGAGATTGAGAGACTGTAGATGATACCATGCCTAGTTGTTTTGAAAAACTTTTTCCCTCAACAAGAGTAATAATAGACTACAGAGATTTTCTATTTCTTATAGAAGTCAATCAGCCCTGTTTTCATCATATAAGCACCAAAATACTGCAAAATGGTTAGTTGAAATTTCACCAGCAGGTGCTGCTACATTTGTTTCAGACTTATATACAGGTAAATATACTGATTTCAAAATTACAAAACATTCTAATTTAATGTCCCTTATGGAACCAGGTGAATCTATGGCTGCTTTGTCTATATCTGGCTGATCGCGGTTTTGAAATTGAAGACCTTTTGCCTGAAAATGTTTTTTCTTAACATACCCCTTTTTCTTAACGGAAAACCTCAATTATCACACCCAGAAGAAGTTGAAACAAGAAGAATTGCCTTTCTTAGGTTACACGTTAAACGTGTTGGGTTAGTTCGCTAACGCAGCAGCCAGTATGCTTCTTTACTTTGTATATGGAAGTATAAAACAGATGGAAGTTCATCGAGCCGCAAACATCAAAGCAATTTCAAGTCGTCTCGGGAGTATGCTTGTAACCGACAAACAAAAAAAAAAACAAGTTTCACTGGATAAAAAAACAACAAAATTCACTGAAATGATCTTTATTAAAACATTAAAAAATGAATTATTCTAGGGATATGTTGCAAATTTTTAACCATTAGTAATTGCAATTATTCAACAAAAGGTTTATTAAAACTCGGTAATTAAGTAGAACCACTTGGTTTTAAAAGCATATGTTAGTTTAAGCTTCTTTTCTTGCTTCAAGTCATAACACGACATTTAATAAAAAAGACAACTAAAACAATTTTTAAAAAATCAAAAAAATTGTTTTCTAAGTAACTAAAGTTTAAAGTTTTATTAGCTGTATATGATAACTCCATTCATTCTTGTAGTATTCCATTCATTTAATATGAAGTTTATAAAAAAGTTGTTGCTTGCCGTTACGTTGCGCCATTTTTTGAATATTATTGGCGAGCCTTCAAAATACTATATTTTTAAATTATCATAAACCTATCTATTTGCGTCAAAGATACAGTCTTGATGTCGTTTTCTTATTGTTTACAAAACAGAAGGTTACAAGCATATTCCCGAAGAATTTCAATGCGGTTGAACTTCCGTCTGTTTTATACTTCCATGATTTAACTGAACGCGTAGCAAGTCTCGCTCTCTTACGCTTCGTTCTTCACCAGGAGCTGAGCACTTGGCGCGATCCAAGTTTGTAATTGTAAATAACGAGATGTATCTTCAAGAAATATATATTAAAGTAATCTTATCTATGTGAATTAATGCTAGAGTCCCTTCCAAACTCTTTATGGAGCCCACGGAGAGAGTTAGGTGATTTAAGGTTTAAAAAATTTAAGTTAAGGGATCTTATGTTTAGGAAAATTAAATTAAATTGTATTAAGTTTAAATTAGACAAGAATTGCGATACCCTTTTGCGAAACTTCTTAAGTTTAAATACAATCGTTCAAAATATTGACCTTCATTTTGAATTTTATTTTATTGATTTTTTTTCGCTGTCGACTGATAAGTTTCTTTTAAACAAATTATTTCAAGCATTAAATAAGTCCGTGAAAATTTTAACGTTAAAAGCGTTCTATTTAAATAAAACATTCTAAAATTAACTGCATTTCCTTTTGTTGAATTAAATACTTTCAAGTTAGGAATTCTCTTTTAAATTTGACTTCAGATTTGTGAAATGTCTGTACTAACAACAAAAAGAAGAGTGCGAACTATGAATGTTAATTCTATAAAGAAAATTTTCGATCAGACCAATGATTTAATGGACGACGATAATCATAGTGAAAATTTTAGATTTGAAAGAATTAAAACTCTAGATGATGAAATTTCGGTTTTAATAGATGACGCGGAGGAGTTACAAATAAACGATGATTTAGCTATTGACTTTACATTAAGCTTTTAAAGAAAAAATTCTAAAATAAACAATTTTTTAAATAAATTTTCTATTAAATCTAATGATGATGCAAGCTCTACAGTAACATTAAAAACTAATAAAATGGTTAAACTTCCAACCTTAAAAATTTTTAGCATTTGATGGCAATTGGGAAAATTGGCAACCTTTTTGGGAAAATTTCGACTGTGCGATAAATAAAAGTCGTGAATTAAGTAACATTCAAAAAATGACATATCTAAGGAACTTAGTTCACGGACAAGCATATTCCGCAATTAATGGTCTCTCACTTTCAAACGAAAATCATACTATTGCGCTGGATATTTCAAAACAACGATTTTCAAATAAACAATTAACTGTTTCCTTTTATATGAAGAAACTTGATCGATTAAACAACATAAAAAATGTTAATTCTTTGAGAAAACTTTTAGATACTGTAGAGATTCAAATACGTAGCTTAGAGAATATTGGTATTGATTCTTCGATGTATGGGTCTTTACTTGTCTCAATTATGCTTGAAAAACTTCCCGAGGAGCTAAACTTAATTATAAGCCGTAAACTAAATGAAGATGAAACTTGGGATATTAAAGATGTGTTCAATATACTAAAAGCTGAATTGAGAGCGCGTGAACACATCAGTTCTTCTGATTTAAATACTTTACCCTTTACTGCTAGTACGTTTCATTCGAGTAACAATTCAAGTAATAAATATGATAAAAGAAATTTGAATTACAAACGAAATGATACTCATTCACCCGTGTGTGTATTTTGCGAAATACACACACGGGTGATATATAATAATATATCACCCGTGTGTGATATATTATTATATATCACCCGTGTAAATAACCACAAATCCCATCAGTGTAAATTAGTAACTAACATTACGGCTAGGAAAAAGATAATAAGTGATAAAAAATGTCGTTTTCGTTGTCTTAGTAATAAACATTTTAGCAACAAGTGTTCATCAAAATTAAAGTGTTTTAAATGTAATCGTTATCATCATGTATCAATTTGTGACAGTGACAACAGAGATAAGTATAACAACAATATGAGAGATAATAACAAAGACGGCGAGTTGACTTCAGTCGCAAGTACATCATTTCTTTCTGCTTCTAAATCTGTTATTCAATCGACTGAAACCGTTTTATTACAAACAGCCCTAGCTACTGTTAAAAGTCAAGATCATGCTAGATTTGCTACACGTCGAATATTATTTGACAATTATTCGCAGTTGAGCTACATTACTCCTGAGACATGTGTCAAACTTAAACTAAAGCATATTGATAGTAAAGAAATTAACAATAAAACATTTGGGCAAGGTAGCATTTCTGAGGTCTTGGATAAAGTCAGAGTTTCTATTAAAAATATTTATGGTTATTTTATAAACTTTGAATGTTTTGTTAAAGATATATGTTCTCCTTTGAGTGGGCAACATTTTAATATAGCATGGAATAGTTATAAACATCTTAAGGGTTTTAGATTAGCCAATTATAATAATTCTAAAGAAAATTTATCAGTTGATATCTTAATAGGTGCTAATTTTTATTGGAAGTTCATGGAAAATTCTATTATCAGGGGAGTTAACGGTCCCGTAGCGATTAGTCTAAGTTAGGATATTTAATAAGCGGTCCCATGATAGTTAATAGAGATCAAATTGATAATTCGACTGTTTTGTCCTCTCATGTGTTGAAGGTCGCGTCAAATTTTAATAGTGAGCAAATTTTAATTAAGAATGATTTAAATTTATTATGGGATGATTCCAAAATTAGCGAGTGTGATAAGACTGTTTATGCAAAATTTCAGAAAAATATTAAATTTAATGGTACTATGTATGAGGTCGAATTGCCATTTAAAGTAGATCATCCAGTGATAGGTGAAAATTATAATTTATGTAAGTCGAGATTTTTAGCATTAGAGAAAAAATTTGCAAGCGATAGAGATTTATTTTCGTCTTACAATAATATTATTAAGGATCAATTATCTAAAGGCATTATTGAAAAAGTCTCTAATTTTGAAGGTAATATTGGTGACGTTCACTATTTACCTCACCGTCCAGTAATACGCAAAGATAAGCTGACTTCAAGAGTACGTATAGTTTTTGATGCAAGTGCTCGCACATCCGGTCCTTCGTTAAACGAGTGCTTGTTTTCAGGACCATCTCTAACAACTTCATTATATAGTATACTTTTACGTTTTCGTGCGAAGCGAATTGCTTTAATTGCTGACATTGAGAAAGCATTTTTAAACATTGCAATAGCTGAAAAGCATCGAGACTTTGTAAGATTTATATGGTATAAAGTAGGGATGTACCGAAGCTTCGGCTTCGGCTTCGGCGTGCCGAAGCTTCGGCAATTTTGCCGAAGCTTCGGTTCGGCCGAAGCCAGGTCAATTTTTTGCCGAATCTTTGGCTTCGGCAAAAAATTTTAAGTAATTAAAGTTATAAGCTACTGTGGGACAAGTTATAAAAATAAGCTAATTGCCAGTGTCTAATAAAGTTATAAATTTAGGACTACAGAGTTAAAGTTGGAGTCTATACCATATACTTAGTATTATTTACTCCCAAGTGTCTTGTTATGGAGGGGATAATAATAAATAAGTAAAAATGTTTTGAAAAAAATAATAAAATTAGGGAAGGTCCTCATACACTTTGAAAGCTTCCAAGTGTGACTTTAGATGAACTGAAGCAGCATTTCTATGCAGAATAAAAACCTTATAATTTAAAACAAATTAAAACTTTTTAAAACCTTAATTTGTATTATGTAACGAATTCATATTAATTATTGTGTGGGATTACCGCAAATAGAACAAAATTTGGTTTCAACATTTGACCGATAAACCTTAGTAATCTCTCTTTAAAGAAGATTAAAGATACGTTGCTACTATTTTAAATTGTGTGTATGTTTAATTTTTTAAAATTTTATTTAACCATATTAATAAAATTTTACAAATTTTCATCGTAAATTTACAGAAATTGGTTAGGTGTCACTTATATAAATACAAAATAGTCAATGGAGTGACACATAAAAAACAAAAAGTTCTCAACAACAAAAAAGGAAGAAAAGCAAATGAAATATAAACGAGGAGAATAAAAAAAGAAAAAAAAAGCCAACAAAAACTAGATAAATTAAAAGAAAAAGAAAAACAATGATAATAACTATCCTTGCTCTTTTATTAATATTATGAATACTTCTAAATTGAATTTATAAATTAAACATGTAAACCAATATTCTGGTTTCTTCTTATGATATTATGAAGACTTTTAAATTTTATTTAAAATAAATTAAAGGTTGAAGCTTTGATTACTTTGAGCTCTTATATTTATCATCAAAATTTATTTAAATTAAATAAACAATTTAAATCAAATAAATATCAGCTAGCTCAATCCCTGTTTATTTATAAATATAAAGTGAATAATAATATAATTATAAATAAATAATTTATAAAGTATTCTATTTATTATTTTATTTAAAGCTTACTCTACAGAGTTGTTAGATTACTATGGAAGCTTTTACGACAGATAGTTAATATTTGATTTCAGATACTGATGCAGATTTATCCATTATAGAGACAGAAGAAGAATGAATACTAAGATTTTAAAGTGTAAAAAATTAAAAAAAGCTATAGAAAATGTTATGTAGTGTACAGTTAAAAATAATAAAAAAAAAATACTTAAAAGTGTGTAAAAAAGAAGTTAGAGAGAAATCTATCATTTGTACTTTTTTTTAGCAGCAGGTTCACAACAGTTGTAGTGGAATCCAAAATGGTCTTAACTTGGGTTTTTTTCAGTTTAGAAATTGTTCGTTTAAAGAATACAGAGAAGTAAAAAAGAGATATTGAAATAAATGGCAATAAAAAGATAAAGTGTGTTTCTAACATTTTTTATGTTGTAGATACAACTAGATCAGCTAAGAGTGTTTATTTAAAGAAAGAGTGATCAAGTGCAAAAGATAAATTTACTCTAGTAATGTTTAGAGATTTTTATCCATTTCTATTAACAAAAGGTGCATTAAAAATAAAAATAAAATATACAGCACATGAAAAGATGCTATATAACATTATTATGGTTTGCACACAAAAAAAGTAGAACTAGAAGTAGGAAAATTTGGGAAGAATGTTTTAAAAAAGCTTAAGTTTAAAAAAAAAAACGCTCGGTGCGGTCAAGTATCAGAAACGACATAATGAGAAATATTTAAACAGGGGCGCTGAGAGCTTTTGCCCTGCCGGGAACAGCAACCCTGACTAGCGTCCTCATTTTTATACGATTTTTCTATATTATTAGTCAAGGACCATAGTTTTGGTACCTTTTTTGTTTTATACCCCTGCTGATCTGAATGCTGATTAAATTTTAAGCATATATAGTGCCGAAGCTTCGGCTTCGGCAAAGTGGCTTCGGCCGAAGCTTCGGCTTCGGCAAAATTTCAGCTTCGGTACATCCCTAGTATAAAGACTTATTTGATTTAGACAATAATTTAAAAAATAGTGAACTAAGTGTTTATCGATTTTTTGTCGAGTTTTTGTAACTTCTTCTCCTTTCTTATTATCTGTGACCTTAATTAATCACGCTGAACGTTATGCTGTGAACGATTTAGATTTTAGCAAGAAACTCAATCATTACATGTGGATAATTTAAATGCGAGTTTTGATTATGTATCCGTAGGACTTGTGTTTTATAATAAAGCTAAATCATGTTTAAAAGAAGGAAACTTTTATCTTAAAAAATTCGAGTCAAACTCAAAGGAACTATGCAGTTTAATTAAAGAGGACAATTCAACCCCAAGTAATATTAATAAAGTTCTTAGCTTAAAGTGGAATAAAACTGAAGATGATTTAATGTTTATCTTTCAGGGTTTACTATATTTAGTGGACAATAAACCTACTAAAAGAAGTATTCTTAAATTCATTGCAAGTTTTTATGATCCTTTAGGATTAGTGAATCCTAAAGTAAGATGTAAAACATTATTTCAATCGATTTGTAAGGTTAAAGTTAGGATGGAATTCACTTATAGAGGAAGTGACCTTGATTGAATGGAACGATATTATTAATGATTTGAGTTCTGTACCTTTTATTTATGTTCCAAGATGGTATAATAAGTGTGTTAATAACATCCAACATAATAAATTTGAGTTATACGGCTTTTGCGATGCGAGTCTAAAAGCGTACGGAAGTTGCATTTACTTAAGTAAGAAGTAGCGCTGAGCGAGTTGTGAATTCTTGTGTAGTTACTTCTAAATCAAGAGTTTCTCCTTTACTTAAGAATACTGTTCCTAAATTAGAATTAAGAGCAATGTTATTATTAGCTAAATTGTTTTCAATTGTAAATAAAGAGTTATCGTGTGTTTTAAATATTTCTTGTGTTAAGTTCTTTTCTGATTCCATTATTTGTCTTAATTGGGTAAACAATGTAAATAAAGAATATGAAACCTTTGTTCAGAAGCGCCTTGAAAAATTCGTTTATTGTATGATATTAAGTTTTGGGATTATATTGAAAGTGAAAGGATTCCCGCGGATATTATATCTCGTGGTTGTAAATTTAGTACCTTTCAAAATAATGACCTTTGGTTAAAAGGTCCTAGTTTTTTATTCAATAGTTTAATTTCCTGGCCTTCATTTGATTTAAGCAAACAAGGAGATTCTTAGTCTGAAGTTATAACTTTAATTACCTCTGAACATTCTTTAGTAAATTTAGATTTTATGAACATTAAGAATTTTAAAACATATGATCGTCTTCTTAAGGTTACAGCTTTAGTTTTATTAGTATAATTAAAAAAAAATTTATAATGATTTATCTACACTAACTACTTTTGAATTAAATAATGCAGAAATATTGTGGATTAAATTCATTCAAAAAGATATATATAATAGTGAGTCTTATAATCAATTAAAACGAGATTTAGGTTTTTTTAGAGCCGATGAGATAATTCGATAATTAATTAAATTCCATTTAATTCAAAATTTCCTATATATTTACCAAATAAAAGTTACTTAACCAATTAAATTATTTTACATTATCATTGTCTTACTTAACATAGTGGTGTTAGAGAAACACTTAATGAAAAACTGAACTAAGTTTTAGTTAACAAAAGCTCGCAATTTAATTAAAAATATAGTTAGAAATTGTTACACTTGTAGAAGATTTGACAGTAAACCTTTTAAGTATCCTAATTCTCCTCCTCTACCCCTTGTACAGTGGAAGCTTGCATTCGGGGTCTTCGTCATTTTATAAGCCGCTTTGGCGCACCCTTTCAATTTATCAGCAATAATGGTTCAAATTTTTCTGCTGAAGAAACTCAAATCTTCTCAAGTTCAAGACGTATACGATAGCGTTTTAATGTTCCTGCTGCTCCTTGGTGTGGAGGGATAATCGAAAGGATGATCCGAACTACCAAGAGAGTACTTAAAAAGGTTCTAAAAATATCAAGAGTTAATTATGAAGAAATGCTAACGATTTTGGCTGAAATTGAAGTTACTGTAAACAACCGGCCGATTACGTTTCTGTACGAAGAACCCGGTGACGAGCCTCTAACACCAAATCATCTCGTGCTTGAACAAAAATTACCTTTAGAATCTGTGAATTTTAACAACATTTTAACTGTTGATCAAAGCGATAATAAGCAGAAGTATTTACACCAAAAAGCGATTTTGGATCATTATTGGCACATATGGAAAAATGAATACATGATAAACTTACGAGAAATGCACAAAAATGTGACACACCAAAGTTGGGGGTTTAATATGAAAATTGGAAATTTTGTATTGGTAGACGATCCAAAAGTTCCACGTTCAGTTTGGAAAATGGGCGTTATCCAAAATATTCTTTATTCAAGTGATAGTCAAGTACGTTCTGCTGAAGTACGCGTGATCTCTGGCGACAAACCACTTATTCTTTGAAGAACTGTAGACAAACTTTACCTCCTAGAAAGGCGTGACTTGATTAAAGAAAAGTTAATTCAAGTGATATTTATTAACGAGAGAAACATTAAACATTTTAATAATAATTTATTAGTGCTGGCCGCAGTATTGCGATAGTTCGCTAACGCAGCAGCCAGTATGCTTCTTTACTTTGTATATTTAACTGAACGCGTTGCAAGTTTTGCTCTCTTACGCTTCCTTCTTCACCAGGAGCTGAGCACTTGGCGCAATCCAAGTTTGTAATTGTAAATAACGAGACGTGTCTTCAAGAAATATATATTAAAGTAATCTTGAATTAATAATAGAGTCCCTTTCAAATTCTTTAGAACGAGCTATAGCAAGAATAAAAAATTATAGACAATTGCAAACAATTTTTCCAATTACAATGGCAGCTCAACTTAATAAGATATGGATAATAAGTTGCTACCTAGTCAACTTTGCCACCACTTATTGTTGAAAAATATTTTATAAAATATTAACAAAAAAAATATTAAAGAATAAAATAAAATATTGTATTCTTATAACAATTTTTAAATTATTTACATACTTTTCTATGTTCAAATTGTATTGTTTGCACAAAAAAGTCTTCATTAGTGTATAAAACAAAATCTATTTCACTAGTTTCTGTAATAGCCATAATACCTTGAGATTGGTAAAAGTAACTATGTTTAATTTTTAGGCTTGGCTTACCGTCAACTATTTACACACAAAAAGTTTTATCGGTACAAGCTTCTCGTACAGAAAAATTTCTTTTCGAAAAAGGGCATTTTACTTCAATCATTTTGTAGTTACCTTTGTTAATACACAATTCATCAGGGCTACAACCTAGCCATGGCCATTTAGGATTTACAAAAAGGCCACATTTTATAATATCACAATTAAATTTTTCTTTATACTTTTCACAAGCAGTAGCTTTATTTTCAATTCCCCACTGACAAGCTTGTAATCGTAAATTACTATCACAGTTTTTTATCAGCTTTTTTAACAATGAAGTTAGAGGAGTATTTTTTCTGCTTTTTGTTCTTCAAACCATTTATTGTTTTTAGATTGATTTGCAGTTTCTGATTCAATTTGAATTATTTCTTCAACATTGATTGACATGTGTCTTGTGACAAATTTATAATTTTCTTCAGTCAAATTAATTTCAGTTAAATGGTCCAAATGACGTAAAAATTTATTCATTACAACAAATCTTAAATTTTCAACATTTTTTTTATTTTCAGAGGCAAGCTTATAATGAGGCAAGCTCATGGATGTCTCATAAAAATGACTTCGATTAAAACCATTTCCAATAATTAACTAGCCATTGCCACTCCTTAGTTTAATTGAATCAGGTTTTCAGTAAACTTTTGCAATTTTTCTGATTTTACACTTTTTCCAGAAAATGGTGTAGCACAAAAATTTCGCTTTCCAGTAACAAGAGGACAAAATCGTAAATTATCAATATCTTTGTTGGTATCTGCTTTCTCAAATGTTAGATCTGAAAATAAAGCTGCTTCACAGTTCTTAACTAACTCACCAGGTATGTGCCATTTTTGTAACTCATCGGTGCATGTTTTTTCGTTGGGTACACTTTTTAAATTAAGTTGGTTATACTCAACAAGTTGATATAGGGCTGCAGCTACATGTTTACAGCACCCACCAGCACCACATTTACAATTACATTTTGGATAACATACATCCACAGTTTTTTTGGCAAATATGGACATATACATCGTATTAAATTTTTTTCATTGAGGCTGAAACATTACACTTTACAAAAAATAAAAGTTTATCACTCAGAATATTTGATTTAACTCTAATCCTTTTTACATAGTTCTCTTTAAATAACTGGTAACCTGCTATTTAATGTTTAGTAGCATTTCGTTCAAAATTATCCACTGATAATGTGTCAGATATCGTATAATTAAACATATGTTGATGTGTTATTGGAGGCAGGAGTGTTATATCTCTTGACCATTCGGTTACTTTTTCAGAGGTTATTTCGTTTTCATCGTTATTAAACTCCTCGTTTGTAATTAAACGAAATGTTGCATGTAGTGGAACCTTGCTAGAGCTATTAAAAAAGCTAGAACCAACAGGAATATTTATAGAGCTCATTATATATTGATTTATTTTTATTATACAAACTTTTATAAGTTAGAGACTAACCAATTTTAACTAAAACAACGTCTGTTAATTTGTTTTTAGCACAATGTAGGTATTCTGCTGCGGAGATAAAAGAATTGTTAAAGATTTTGTCACGAATGTGACAAATTATTAGCATGAAAACTATTAGCTATGTTAAAACGAGCCACAAATTAAATTTAAACAAAAAAAAAGAGACCTATTTGTTTTACAACTTTTTGTACATACAAATACCATAATGGATTGTTTTATGGGGAAGGTCTATTAGCATTTAAAATTTAACTCCAAGAAATACACTGAAGTACTAAACACATGACAAGTTAAAAATTAAATCAAGTTCTGTTACTACAAACCTTTATAGTTTTTGTTACGAATGATAAAAATTTAAAATTTTAGGGAAAAAGTTTAATAACACAATGTTCTTGTATACTAGTCATTAAATTTTAATTTTTTCATTTGCGGTACACACATTTCCTGTGGTCTTCGCCTAGTGTATTCCACTACATCAGCCATTCCATTACATCATTCCATCAGCCTTGATGAAAGAAGTTTAGCTCCTGACTTAAAAAAAATCTAAATCTCTGATTAAAATATAAGTTCTATGAGAATTAATAAACAGTGAAGTTCAAAAATTTTCAAAATTCTTTTGTTATTGAAATTTCAGACAAAGATTTACAGTCTGAAGCATTTTTATTAATGAAAGAGTTGAATGTTCTAAAATCATCTAATTCACTTTGATTTGGAAAGTGAGGCGGAAAAGTCGTCATTAATAAAAAAGCTCCATGTTTTTGCTACTGTTACCTATTGCTACTGAAATATTGCATCTTCCTTTGTGAAATATTGCATTTTCCTTCCTAAAATAATAAAAAAACAATACAGCTACTTCAACATAGACATTAATATTAGATGTAACCATAAGTAATCAAAATTTAACGGGTGACATCTGAAAAAAGATTAGATTTGGATTTAAACTGGATTTAAAGATACATATCTTTTTTTAGGTTTAAGGTAAAACAAAAAGGGAAAACGTTTTAGAAAGTATTTTTAATACTAGTTTTTTATTTATACAATCAATTATTTTCAATTAAACCATACTTTCTGGCTTAATCAACTAGTTAGAGACTGAGCTATACTTCATATGAACTCAATATCAACTTTATTGGCAAAATTTGATTTTAGGCATGTGAGATGATGCCAAGTAAGACCAGAAGACATATGCACCATCTAAATTATACTTATTGATGAGTGGAAAAAGTCTTTTCTTAATTCACTTGTTTAAGTAAATTTCCGTAAAATTGACCGTGAAGAAGACCTCACTTGTCTTGTTAACCAGAATCACTTTCAGCGCGTTTAATTATCTTGTAGGTAATACTTTTGGGTATATTCTCAGTTTTAAAGTAGTCTCTTTACCAACATTTCTATAATTTAAATAAAATTCGTACATGTTTTCTTATCTCTTATGTTGTCGTATGTAACATTGGACCAATATTGTATAAAACGTTAGGTAAATGTTATTATGAATTAGCTGTATACTGAATTTCAACAACAAATGTTATAATAACTAATTTTTTATGCAACATTAGATCGTTGTTACAAATAGA